GAATCACTGTGATTTATAGCCTGTTTTATAAAAGTTGTTAAGTGTATTACAAAGTTCTATTGAGAAAGAATAAACTAGGGACTTGTATCGCTGAAGTTCCTCTGAAAGAATTTTTACCGGAAATTATCAAACAATCAGATATGTAACATAATCTTTTTTTAAAGAACAATAATGTTTTTGCAGTAACTTGCCCTTAAGAATTCTAGACCAACAATCAAAATGTCATTACAACCAATCAGACTACATGTAACAACCATTCTCACAGTCTCCTTCCAATAAGGAACAAAGTTCAGTTACATAAAAACATCTAAACACAGAAGTACAGCAGGTGATATTAGAACTTGTAGAACTTAATTAGTGTCAAATATTTACAAACAAAACATTTTTTATAAAAATCCACCAAAACACAGCTCGAATGAGAAAGGTGGCATCTGTATCCTTTCTTTGTTTGACTAATGATGAAAGTGTAATTGACTAGAACAGTTACCTACAAGTTTAATGTAAAGTATATAACTGTAATGTTAACTTATTTATAATTTTCTTTGTTTGACTAATGATCAAAGTGTAATTCACTAATATAGTTACCTACACTTTTAATGTAAAGTATATAACTGTAATGTTAACTTATTTATAATTTTCTTTGTTTGACTAATGATCAAAGTGTAATTCACTAATATAGTTACCACCTTAGAGAATTGATCCAATAAACACATACATTCACACCAAATTATCAGAAAAACTATAATACCTAAGAGAATTGATCCAATAAACACATACATTCACACTAAATTATCAGCAAAACTATAATACCTTATAGAATTGATCCAATAAACACATACACTCACACCAAATTATCAGAAAAACTATAATTCCTTATAGAATTGATCCAATAAACACATACATTCACACCAAATTATCAGAAAAACTATAATACCTTTCAGAATTGACCCAATAAACACATACACTCACACCAAATTATCAAAAAACTATAATACCTTATAGAACTGATCCAATAAACACATACACACACCAAATTATCAGAAAAACTATAATTCCTGATAGAATGGATCCAATAAACACATACATTCACACCAAATTATCAGAAAAACTATAATACCTTATAGAATTGATGCAATAAACACACATATTCACACCAAATTATCAGAAAAACTATAATACCTTTTAGAATTGACCCAATAAACACATACACTCACACCAAATTATCAGAAAAACAATAATTCCTTATAGAATTGATCCAATAAACACATATATTCACACCAGATTATCAGAAAAATGATTTTACTGCTTAACAATTCTTAAAAAAAATATTATAATTCTACTTAAAAATAACCCTAAGATTAAGTTTCCACACTCATCCTTATTGCTTCAAATAACTCTAGTCATCATTATCAATCTCAATGGTATAGAAATAAAAATGGTTTTTGTAGGTATAACTTATCCAAGTTCACACCTAGTATGAATACCCAAATCAAAAAATGATCTCGTTCCTCTGTACTCTAGTAACAAAATAAACAACTATTTAATCTCCTTTACAGCTTTTTAAAAAAAAACGACATATCATTCAGGTAGCCCTTTTATACACTCTTTCCTCAAGTCCCTTAAAAGTTCTAAAAATGTTAAATACAAGACAATCAGAATATATTTACCTATATAGCTCTGTTACACTTAGAAATAAAGCAACTACGAAATATATATATGAGTTTATCTCAAAGATTAAAGATAATCCAATAATAGTATTACACTGTATATGTAGATACATGTAAGGCTTTAAAATCAGTAAATGTAGAACCAGTTATTGTTACTTTCCTAACTGGTAGACGAAACCAAACTGAACTCATCAATAAAGAAACAATGATCATATTACCACCACACAGAACTAACGTACATAACTGTAAAAAAGGTAATCCCTTATTCAAAGAAAGAAAGTTAACATTACAGTTATGTACTTCACATTAAAAGTGTAATTATAGTTTTTCTGATAATTTTGTGGAATATTTGCGAACGACAAAGATGTTACATATACAAACACACTAGTGAAATATTGAGAAGTAACATGTAAAAGTATTCTCTAATCCCCATTATTGAACATAGTATAAAACTACAATTTTGATACAGATAATGGAAGATAAAATACAAAATGATAATATAAATGTCAGTACATAACTAACCGTAATTCTATGAAGGAAAACACGAAATACCACAAACACAGTAGTGTATCATTTTGAAACTATTTCTACATTAAACAGAAGCATATTACACTGAAACTGAAACCAGAACTGATGTGTGATTTAATTAGAGTAGCTTGTCACATTAAATTTGTTGCAAAGTTCAGACCAGGTCACACATTAGTGTTACAGAACAAGATAACCTTTCTTACAGACCAGGTCACATATTAGTGTTACACAATAAGATAATCTTTCTTAAGAATAATACCTTATAGAATTGATCCAATAAACACACACACATTCTCAGAAAAATGATAATACCTTATAGAATTGATCCAATAAACACACACATTCTCAGAAAAATGATAATACCTTATAGAATTGATCCAATAAACACATACATTCACACCAAATTATCAGAAAAACTATAATACCTTATAGAACATCCAATAAACACATACATTCACACCAAATTATCAAAAAACTATAATACTTTATAGAATTAATCCAATAAACACATACATTCACACCAATTTATCAGAAAAACTATAATACCTTATAGAATTGATCCAATAAACACATACATTATCAGAAAAACTATAATACTTTATAGAACTGATCCAATAAACACATACATTCACACCAAATTATCTGAAAAACTATAATACCTTATAGAACTGACCCAATAAACACATACATTCACACCAAATTGTCAGAAAAACTATAATACCTTATAGAATTGATCCAATAAACACATACATTATCAAAAAAAACTATAATACCTTATAGAACTGATCCAATAAACACATACGGTTTACTAAAGCACAGTTGAT